CTTTGTTTCAACGCTTCTTGAAGCTAGGCTGTTCACTGCCTTCTGGGGACCAGTTATTGGAGTTCATCAGTTACACAATTAAAGTGCACAAGGAGTACAAGCAATGGCTGCCTTATTTGCTCTTGGCTGGTTTTAATCCCGTGAATTTACTGCGCAGATTCTGGTAGGAAGATAACATTATCTTGTTTACTTAAATATTGTATGCTAATCTGCAAAACTGTTGCCAATGTTATTTAGAGGCAACAATGTTGCCAATGTGTTTTCAGAGGATTGTACTTGATAATAGTTGCCATGATCAGGAATGGTGAGGCTTAGGGTAAATCGGAAATAAATCCTTCACGGGCAGTGACTGGATTCAGTAAAAGAAATTTCTTTTAGGAAGAAAGCCAGAATGGAGATTGGTTTATCACTACTCTGGAGAAAGGCATCATTTTGCAATTTTTATATTGAGCATCTCTTATTAGCCCTCAAATTTAGTAAAATTAGTTGCAAATTGCACGTGTATGTATAATAAGGTAATGGTAAGAAGAATTTAAAATACTGAGAAACAGGTCAGGAGGGATGGGAAACAAATGTAAAGTGAAGCTGGGCCAAAGTGAGGCAGGGAGGAAACGGGTGCAGTTGGAGATTGTGTTAAAGAAAACAATGACAAAAATTCCATCTGTATTTTTGTTTGTTTGGGGTTTTTTTTGTAGTTCTTCCACATACAAATAACTACTTGGTGATATTTTATATTTAATTAAGCATACAGAATTAAAATTCTGAAATATTCGTGTTTTCTTCTGTTTCTTGCTTGTTTGTGAAGATGACACGTAGACTTTATTACCAAATGTCTCAGCTGTTAACAACATAATGTGAGATGCATAAACTCATTACATGCATTACTTAAAATCCTACTCCTTCCATACAGTTAAGGTTTACTTAAATATTGATTTATATTTCGGTTACTGTTGAGATATCATGGTTAAGATATCATTGGTAGTTTTAAATGCATTTGTTTATGACTTAGTGAGATTCTGTTAATCATTAACATTCCTGCCTTTCTGAACAATAATGAGAGGAGCATATATAAAGCATGGTATATCTCTGCTTCTGTAGATCATATTTAGTCATAGAAGACTAAGTGATTGCTAAAGTAAACACACTACAAGATTGCAATTCAGTGACTGAACAAATCTTGCTGTCCACGTATATTATATGTGATGCTTTTTGATATTTTGTTACATAATCCACAAGTACTTTTATACCAGTTACTTCCTTTGTTTAAATTACCACTTTTAAAAATAACACTTATCACATCATAATCTACAAAACTAATGTTTTTGTAAGCTAACTTCAATATTAACTATTCTGTCCTGGAAGATGACAGGAGGATAGTAGACAGCAAATTACATTTATGTATATGGTTCATACACTGTCTCTGGCTCCTTGTGCAAAACAGCTGTACAGTCAATCGTAAACTGGTCAGTTTAGAGCACTGACAATTTTAATTTACAGTGGGAAAAGTAAAATCACCATTTTTTTTAAAGAAAGCCAGGCAGTCAGATGTCTCTCCTGTATGTTTTTTGGTGAATGTATAGAAGTTCAGTCAAATATGAAAAATTAAATAATAAAAACTAGAAAGTATATAAAATATTTTTGACGTTAGTATTTTGTAAAAAGGAATTTTAATAAAAAATTTAGTCTGGTATTTTTGTGTAAGTAGAGCATTTAGATTTCCATTCAGATGAAAATTCAGGACTGTATACATCTAGCCGAGAAGCTGTTCTGTGAAATCGCGTGGCTCTTCAGCATGTGCAGTACTGAAGCAGTCGGTTTACCTGCTGTTGCTTAAACCTCCTTAAGCACTTTATTCAATTAAACTATTGTTAAAAGTTCTTCACACATGCTAAAGATTTGAAATGTAAATCATACTGATTTCTGAATACATATAAATGCAGTCTCTGGTAGAAGGAGAGTTTGAAACACTTGCAAATTTTGAGGGATTTTGTTTTGTTTTAATAAATAAGTAGCTGAGTATACATGCTTTTTTTTCCCCAAAAGCGATGGTAATACTTATAATGTTCTAGTGTCTTGACCCCTTACTAAAATTTAGGTGGAAATGGAATAAGAAATTAGTGCAGAGGAGAATGCTGCCTATTACTAAGGCATTTAAGTTTCAGAGCAGTTATTTTTCTTTTGCAGTCTAACTTACTTTTAAAAAGAAATGGAGTAAGATAGAAATACATTAGTAAATGCTTGTACTGTCAAAATTACTTTGGATTTCTCTTTAATGGTTTTCTGTTTATGGGTTTAGGAAGTAGCTTGTTAAAGATTTGGTAGAAAATAGTGATGCTTTCTATGTGTCGCTTCCGTTATTATATTAATGCTATTGTGTAAAATGATGTTTTATGGGAGTTTTCATTATGCAGGATTTTCTCTGTGAGCGAAAATGTCCTTAATTTCATCCTGGAGTTCACAAACTGGAAGAGACTTCCTCCAGCTGTAGAGCAAGACCTTTCTGACTACAAAGAGAAGTTCACTTGGACTCCCAAGAGCCATTTCGGTAAGCAATACAGTTAGGGGAAAAAAATCTCTGTGTATGCCAGCTTCCAGGCTGCAGGTGGGAAACAGCTCTGTGTGCTAATGCACGATGGCAAAGGAGGTTTAATAGTCAGTAGACGTTGCTCATCCAGAGACTGGGGAGCAGAAAGAGCAGTAACCCTAAACAAACAAGCAAGCAAAACATATTGGGATGAATTTTACTCATTACATTGTTCAATTCAGAGTTAGCATGTTTCAGGGAGGTATTCTCAGTTTAGGCTATCTTGTCCACTTCAAATGAATGCACGTGCTATAAAATATGGGTAGTGGCTGTAAATTGGTACTGTGCCTTCCTGAAATGATCTGTTCAGCCTCTTGCAACATTTAAGGGAAGATGATCCATATTACTTGGCTACATTTTCTAGACCATATCCCACTGATTTTATTTTTCTTAATTTGATCTGTATTTCCAATGAAGTATCTATCCTGTTCTGTAAGCATCTGACAGTAATTAAAATACAAACCATATTAAACACATACAAATCTAGCTGTTCATTGTCAGTCCTGGAATCAAAATGTGGTCAGCCAAAAAGATTCAATTATTGATTGTCCAGGAAAACACCTAGTGCTCACTGCATTCACCCTTCAGAAAAGCAGCTTTAACGTACAGGTTGTGCTCTGGAACCTGTGCGTTATGCTACCGAAAAATTGTACTCATATGTCTCTCTTAGTGACTCATTTCAAAGCAAATTCTTCTTTAAAAGGGTCTGTAATAATTTTTAAAATGTCTTAAGTGATAATGTTATTAAATAATACTTCCTTTGGAATATTTGAAGCTAATTAGGATATCTTTGGAGAAAAATATATATATATATTTGGGGAAATTTAGATGAAGTTCTTTGTTTCCTTTGCTATTAGTAAATAAATTAGTGTTGTAATAGCATCCAGTAACTGAAGCCAAAGAGGGAAAGCAGAAAGGTAAAAACAGGGCAGGGGAAGTTTGAAAGTTTTCACTTTTTCATTCTTTCAGCCAAGAGCAGTCAGGGCAAGCAGGCCAGCTGCTGTGCTGAGAGGCAGGCTTCCCCCCTTGAGAAGCACCAGGCACTTGAATGGGGATAAAATGTGGTCACATGAGTGAGCACAGGAAATTAAACATGAAGGTTTTGTGCAGAAAAGTTCAAAAATGGGTGTTCACACCTCCAGCTGAAGGCTTGCAAAATGTATGGTCCTGTGGAGTTGCGCACCAGCTGTACTTACCCTTCTGTACTGAAATTCAGAAATGATTGCAGTTAATGTTACAGATTCCTTGTGAATAAAATAAATGGAGAAGCCACTCTAGGAGAATTTGGAGGCACCAGTTTTGTATCAGGATAAGTTGATCTATAATATGAAAGCTTGTGTTTGAGCGAATGCGCGTTTACAGACATATTTGTGTATCTCGGCACGGGGCTTATCCTAGGTCAAGTTATTTAGCAACATGTTAGAACATTTGGGATCATATGCCGAGCCATGCTGTCACTTAATACTTATTCTACAAGCGTTTTCCCTTGTGTTATTTTGTTATTGCTTTATTTACTTCTAGACTTAAATTTTCATTTCTTGTAAGGTGGCCTGGGCCTCTCTCTGCCCAAGCAGGTAGCTGTTCTAGGCTGGTTAGATGAAACTCTCTGATTAAGGAAAAAATGATTCTTTGATACGTTGTTTCTAGAAGTTTAAGGTAACTTTGATAGCTCCTATAGGGAATATTCAAAAAGGCAGATTCTAGCAGGCAACAGCCCTTCCCTGTGGAGAACTCTGCCTCATTATTTGCCAGAGGCTGGGGGGATTCGGGCGGGATCCAGCTAAAGCAGGTGACGGTAGGAAGCGATGTAATCCCATGGTGTCCTGTGCAGTGTTTGACTTGGGTTTTAATTTTTCAGCCTTCATTCCTTCCCTGTCTCATCTCTGTCGTCTTGAGATCCGGTCCATTTTAACGAGCGAACACCTGCGATCGGACCGGTTTATCCGTGGATTGCCACTGCCAGCTTGTCTCCAGGACTACCTGCTCTACTTAGATGTACTGCGAGTCAACGCTATCCCAGGAGCCGAGGATTATCTGGGGCAGAGAGAGGAGGGAGCTCCCTCGACCAGTCACTCCAGCGCTGAAGGTGCAGAGAGGAGGGACGCCTGTGACCTTAGGTGATGGTGCTGCCATTGACTGAGCTCAGTGGCTGCAGATTTTGTAATGGCAATTAGCAGACACCGGAGAAGAACTGCCATAAAGAACTATAGTAATAAGTCTTTTCATGCTGTAGTTCTATACTACATCTAGAAGTTTGTAGAAAGTTCTATGATTTACTTGTTTAAAAAGTCTGTTGTAGCTGTCTCAGTCTGTGAACATTTTCTGGGTTTGGAAAGGAAATTTTTAACTCTTATGGACTAAAATTAGCTGTTCAATGAACATAGCTTATATAGTGGTTGAAATCTATTTGGTCAGACACTGTTAATAGATGCTTTATTCTAAGCACTGCATATACCAAATGACATTATCTGAAAGTCAAGGAACACAATACTGTAATATTATTATGAATGTATGTGTTGGGGAGTGATCCAGCTGCAACAGAGATAAGAAAATACTATAAGAAAGGAAATTGGTTGCTGAAGGAACAGTGATTTTCTTTTTTTTTTTTTTTCCTTGATGATCTATATTTGGTGGAACATCGGAGTGGGAGGCTGGCTCAGAGCCTGCACCCAGTCCCTCCCCTTGCGTAGCCCATGGGCAAGGCATGAAATGTCCCCACAGGCACACCGACACAACGCTGCTGTACAAAAATCCCTCCTTCAGTGAAGTACAAAAGCAACCGCCGTCCCCGGCAGCTGCACCCCTCGCGCTGGGAGAGCCCTCGTCCTGCAGAGGCGAAGCTGGCGCTGCCGGGCTCACTGGTAGTAGATGCTGAAGGCGTGGAGGATGTACAGGAAGGTCGTGATGAAGGCGAAGAACTGCACGAGAGGAGGAAGAGCAAGAGCTGGGGTCAGCTGGGAGAGTCTAACCTCATCTCCTCTCGGTGTTCTCGACCCGGGGCAACCTGCCAGCCCAGAGCTCTCTCTCCAGCCTCAAAGAAGAGGCAAAGCCCCCCCCGTCTCCCAGGAAGCAGCTGCGCAAGGCTGTCCGTGAGCTGCTGGACCCCGAGAAGCCCACACTGGCTGCACGACGCAGCAGAGACGAGGAGCTGAAACTCTGACCGGTGTGACACTGCTGGTTTTGAGATGGCTTTAATATTTGCTCCTGCGTCTCCCTGAGGGGAACGGTGGCTGCTCTGGCCTGCCTGCAGTTTTCTGGACCAACTCACCGATGCGGCGCTGTTGAGCTGGTAGTAGAGCGGCGAGTTGGGGCCGAACTCAGAGCGAATGGTCGCGTTGGCTTGCAAGACAGCAGCGCTCATGTACAGAATGGCTGTGGCACCGTGGTACAAACTGTCCTGCAAAACAAGGGAGCAGCAAGGATCAAAGCCTGCTCAGGACCATCCTTCTCTGATTCGCCCTGAGGACGCGATCCATCCTCTGCACGTGCAAGTGCTTGAGCAGAACACGCGCGCCCGGACAGGGCTGGGACCCAACCCTCGCGCCATGCCGAACCCTCCCCTGTGCCCAGGGCATAGCACAGCTTCCTTGGGCACTTCCAGTCAAGGCCAAAGGAGGGAAAAGGGCTGCTTGTTTGCAGAAGGGCCCTCAGCTGGCCGGCTCACCCGTCACCAGCCATGGTGGTCTTGTTGCCCACATTGCTGCTGGCAATGTCTGCCTGTTTCCCAGTCCCTCCTTACCAGCACTTTCCAGTTCTCGCTGTTTTTGTGAAAGCCAAAGAGGTAGCTTAAGAGGAGCAGCAGGGAGACGAGGCAGGAGCTGAGGGACACGTACATCACCCATCCCTGCAGCAACGGGAGGGAGACGGAGGTAGCAGCGACAAGGATCCACACCCAGGTCCCGCAGAGCTGTTGGGGACAAGCACAGGCGCCTCCGATGAGCGCGGGATGGGGAAGGCCCCTTCTCCTCCCCGAGTCCCTCCTCACCTCCCTCCTGGGCCGGCTCCTGCAGCCGTTGGAAGCCCTGCACCTTCAGGGAGCACGGACCAGCCTCCCAGAGCATCCCAGCACGACAGCAGCACCGCAAGCTGGCATGAGTTTCCCTGAACGCTATTGGGAAGTACTTCAAAACATTTCTTACAAAAGGGAAAGGTTTGCCGCCGCGTTCGGCACTAGGAAACATCTCACCCCGAGGGCTTTGGAGGAGAAGCCAGAAAATGTGCTTTTATCTTGGAAAGGTGAAGGGCCGCGTCAGCCCAGCCCTGCCCGCCTGTTAATCTTCTGGTCTTGAAATCACCGGCACGAGGAAGTTTCCTCCTGACTCCACGCACCAGCCCAGAGTGAGTCGCTCACTCTGGATCCACCTAAAATATTTACTGGGCACAAATAGCACGCTGGGGCTATGCGGATAAGCTCGCGCCGCCCTGTGCCGTTCCAGCTCCAGCGGGTGAAACTCCCCGAGATGTGCAGCGGGGAGCTGAGCCCGCGGGCAGAGGTGGCTCCCCGCAAAGCCCAGCCCCTGCCGTTGTGCCCGGGGAGCCTGGGTGGCGTGTGGGGCACCAGCGCTCTGTCGTGTGTCAAAGTACACCAGCGGTTATCTCGGCCAGGCCCACCGGGTGCCCTCTGGACCCAGAAGCATTTGAAAGACTAATGGAATGTTACATGTTACAAGACGCCCAATTGCCTTCAAGTCCTTGGAAAGACTTAATACAGAGAACAAAATTCCCTTGATTTTCAAGCAATTTCTATGAGATAACCAGAGCTGCTTCTGCCCTAGAGGTGCCAGCAGCTCTTCAGCCTCTCCCAGCCCCACGGCAGCCGGCGACCCTCACACGGACTCTGGGATGGAGCTGGAGTTTATCTTGTCCTCCCACCGTTCCAAAACAACACATCATGAAGACCACTTTTGTACATTCAGTATAAGCCTAAAGACGTTATTTCCCATTAATGCTGTCTTCAGGATCGTTCTGGGGGCTGCTCCCTGATTTTTAGATGCGCTAGAGCCGTTTGCAGGGTGCTGTAAAGCAGCAAAGCTCAGCATACTCACTATCTCCGGTAGGATGAATGCGTAGGGGATGGTTTTGAAGACGGTGGGTCCGGAGGGCAAGGTGGGCTGCGTGGAGGCCGCCGGGGGACACACCGAGGCCATCTCTTCTCAGCTGAGGCCGTGACCGCTCCGGCTCGGCTCCGCTGGCGTTTGCCTGCGCCGCGCCGCTCCCGTGCGGGGTTTTAACCGACACACCCGCAGGGACGTAATCACAGAAACCAGCCTGGGCTGGCACCACGCCGCTTCCTCCGGCTGAAGGAGCCCTTAGCGGCCCTCCGGTTATTGCCGCCGGCTTCACATGCCCTGCCGCCAGCACCGGCGAGCAACGGGACCCCAGCCCCACCACCCACACCAGCAATTGAAGGTCTTTAACGAGAGGGGAAAGAAAAAAAAAAAAAAAAATCCTACACCACAGCAGAGATATTTCCTGCAGTCAGTTTGTGTCCTTGGCACACTGTCAAGCCTGAAATATTTTTTTGCTCCTAGTGTTGTTGCCTCCTCCCCTTTCTGTTCAGGTTTCTGCTCCGTGTTCACGTCAGACTCCCCCACACCCACCGGGCATGTCCAGCCTTCAGAAACTTGCAGCCAAACATTTTTTTAGAGACAACTCAAGGATGGGTGGTTTTGCCCACGGTGCTCTTAAGTGCGCAGAAAGGTCTGAAGGACTGCTGCCAGGACAGCTTTGATTTCTACCTCCTGGCAGATTGACTTTGGATTCGACAAGCACGCTCTTTTTTTTTTTTTTTTTTTCCAGAGGACTCTGCTTCTTGCTGTAACTCACCCAATAAGTGGTGGGATGAAAGGCTGAAAGTGGCGCCTCTGTCTCAGGGCATAGGGAAGTCATTCTGTCCTCACTAACTCAGGCAATAGTCTGCAGCAGGAGAAGGACAATATCCTAGTAAGATACCGTATCTATGTTAGGAGAGCCAAGTGATGCCCTAGGAATTTGGCTCCTAGGCCAAGCTCTTTCACAGTACAGAGCAAAGATCAAAACTGTGATATTTATTATTGTCTGAGCCCCTCCTAGGCTGGGGGGGAAGTGTTTTACGGCATTTCTGGAGGCTCCAGTTTACAAACGATGTCAGTGGGAGCTGGCGTTGGGCTCCATGCTGTGTGCTGTGGTCTTCGAAAGATCTTGTTTTAAAACATTTCACACCAGACAAAACTAGTGCCTGGCTCAGACTTAAAAAAAAAAGAATTGGATAAATAACTTCCCTCCAGGAGCGGGCAGCACGTCGGGCCCGTGGGCGCTCACTGCTCAGGGGAAAGAAGCCTTTGACATCCTGGTCCACAGGAGGAACACCCCGCAGCTCACCAGCCTGCCCTAGAAGGTCAGCACAGAGGGGGCTACAGTACAGCTCAGCCATGCACAGGGGAAAGGCAGCGTGCCCCGATTTCTTACCAGCTTTTATTTGTATTAGGTGGATCAAGCACATTCCTATGAAGAACCCAACCTCTTCCTGAGTGGGAAAGAAAAACAGTAAAACGGTCTAAATAGAGAGCAAACTGCTGTCCACTGATTGGACAAGAGATGATTTTTTTTTTCCCAAACCCAGCTGACCATGCTCAGCAGCATTCTTAAAGATCATTGCTGTTTTCCTTGCCTGCTACCAGTCTGCTGGGATACTGGGATAAACAGTCTTTTCTTCACCCTGATTAAAACAAAACTGGAAATTAATTGGAAGCTGCATGAGTGAGGAAAAGTGCTGCCTCGGCATATGCTCAGCTTGGGCAAAATACGACCCTCGATGTGGCTACAACAGGTACATGTAGCAACAGACAAAGCCTTGTCTAACACTGCAAAGGGGGAGTTTTAAAATATATTTTCCATTAGTAAATTTGATAAAATAATTTTAGTATCTCAAAATGTTAAAATACTCATGACAATTCAGATAGTACACACGGTTTCTTTTTCATAAGAATTTATTTATATTATTACCACATTCTTACGTAGCTCATATTGTTCTTCTATAATACATTCATACTCCAGGATTGTTTTTTCTCACTTCTCCTAAGAAATCATAAGCCACCTCTGAGATATCGAAGGCTTTGTGAGTGTTTTCTGATGACAGCAGATACTGAAGGGCACCATCATTCTCACGGCTCTTTTTCAAGAAGTCAGCAATCACCTTCCAGCGAGATGCTTCAGACTCTTCCTCAGCCCACTTGTAGTCAGGGAGGAAAGTGGAGTAGAGCAGAGGAAAGACAGAGTCGTGGTACACCAGGACAAACAGAGACTTCAGAAATTCTTGATCTCTCTGCAGAGAAGAGTATTTGAAAATACTTCAGTGCAAATATGTGGTGTTGCCAAGCTCTTCTCCAGAAGCATTGTATACAAGGACGGACAAAAAAAGAAACAAAACAAAACAAAAAAACAACAAAACCAACCAAACAAGAAAACATTCAACTAGCCCCCCCGTTTCCAGGAAAACAATGGGTGGAGATCTGACCTTCCTGAACACACATCAGCTAGTGTAGATGAGCCTCAAAGTCGCCACCAAGAACCATGCTATATGAACTGCAGATCAACAGCTCTGCTCTCCAACCCACCTACTGTTGCATGTTACCACACAACAGCAATCTCTGCAGCGGTCCCTGAGAGCTCACGGGGTGTTTATATTTCTTCCTAAAAACACCAGTGTGTGACAGCTGTTCCCCACAGCCTCTGCAGGTACAGACTGGCACTGTTTGCTGTGGCTGCCAGGGAAGCGCCACGTCCTCCTCGCCTTGGAAGCCCAAACTCCACTGGTGTCTCTACTGCCCCAGGCAGAGCTGCAGCAATCCCACGCTGCGCGTGGCGCGTGGCTCTTGGCAGGAGGTAAGGCCACACCGTAAGTACTGTTATTTCACACTTTGGCAGGACATTCTGTGTGCGGTGAGAATTATGCCCTCCTCTGTAAAGACCCATTTGCAAAACCCAGAGACTCAGAATCAGCCTGGTCTATTCTCAAAAACTGAAAGATCTCAACTGCTTTAACTCAACAAGACTGGTGCGCCTTATTTTCCCCAGGCACTCTAGAAAAAACCCTTCATGGTAGGAGAATGCACACAGAGCACTGCCTTCTGGAAAACTCTGACCACTGAGACTCTTCCAGAAAAGTGAGTGCTATGACTGGCGTTGAACAGTTCCCTTCTCAGCAGGAGATTGAGCAGCTAAGCCTCACACAACCATGCAAGGAGGAGTAAGAATTCGCCAGGCAGCAATCCTACGGTGGGAGTGGCACATGACAAATCAGGTAAAACTGGATGGTTCTGGGATACCGAGGAGTTACTAATTCTTTGAGCAGATCATCTTTCATTTTGGATGAATGGCTTTGAAAAAGCGACTCAGCAGCATTGCATTTTGTTTGCGTAAACGGGGAGATCTCCTTCTGTATCTATTCAGTAGCACGCACAATGAATTAAATATCCTGCTGCTGGTCCCAAGAAGTGAAGTGTTTTGGATTACAAGCCAATGCATTTCTCCTTCGGCTACCTACAGCTTCTCTTTGTCCCGAGGATAGGAGGGAGGACAAGGTGCAGGTAAGGCTGGTGACATGGCCAATTTGGTTCTTCTCCAGCTGTCTACACGCCAAAATGGGAGATTACAACTGTCTGACACAGGGAGATTTGCAGAATTTGGGGGCCTTTTTCCAGGCAGACTATGGGAGGACTGGAGCTCAGAGGGCGGAGAAGGGAAGATTAATTTTGTGGACATACACAGCCCCTTTTGTACCAGTGGAAACATTTTACCAGCCAAGTAGTGGAAGCACATCATGAAAGGGAGCCACCCTTTGGGTATGAACCTCCAACAGCTTCCCCACTAACAACCATATACAAAAATTTACAAGTTAATTTCATATCCTTTGCCTAGTTAACTGTTATGGGTAAGAAATGTTAAGAACTGCATTTAGCATATCGACATTTCCTAAATAAACGTGCAGTAAGAGGAAAAGTTAACTAGCAATAACACTGAGAGAAAGCTTCTAGTTCACATAGATTGAATATATGTCAAAGAAAAACCTGTAATTTAATACCTTCTCAGATCTCTTCAACATTCTTTCTCTGTCTGCCCAAGCGCTCTAAAATGAAATGAAATGTCAAATCACACTGAGGTTGTGGAGCTCTAAAGCAATTCCATTTTTAGCTGCAAAAATCTCTTACTGCAATCCCACAGTAGTTTAAGCTCCTGTTGCAGTTCCCCTCTTACTCACACTCCCCACTCCTCCCTTGTGCCAGTTTAGTTGATTTAGGCAAACAGCCACTCCACCAAATTTTACAGGTGTGACAATTTGGAGATTTGAAATTATCAGAGCTGTAACAATGAAATCAAGGGGATCCACCTGTCAGAAAAATCAGTCACAACCAAGGTTGCTTTTCCCCTCCCTCCCCCCCCCCCTACAAGCACAGAGAAACCCAGCCTAACCCCAAAGGCTGACAACTAACAGTGGAGTCCTTGAGGCAGAAATAGCTCAGCTGTTGTTGTGTGGTCCTAGGACACCTGCCAGGGGCTGCCACGTAACGACAGTGAGCACTGTCCTGCCAGGCAGAAGCTACATCACCTCCTCCCTGTCGTGAAAGCAGCCCTGTCCTAGAAGCCAGACAAACACTAGGGCAGCTCCTCCACCCGAGCACTCTCCTGCTGTGGCGATGTGGCTAGCAGTGCTCAAACTAGCACATTCATGTCTTTGCACCCCTTCTGAACGTACCCGGGTGTTCTCTTGCAGAGATCTGCATGTATTTCAAACAATTATAAAACCTTGGCTTTTCCATTTATCTTTTCACAGGATAAAAAAAGCTCAAACTTTGCAAACTATCTGGAAATCCTGGCACGTCAGATGTAATTGAATGCTACATAGGTAACATACCCGAAGTGCATCCATCAGGTCTGGTTGATCCATGAGTTGAGGGAAAGTTGCTAAAATAGGATTACAGATTAAATCTGAAACAGAAAACAAACAAGGCTAAGGAAGAGGATGGTTTTCAGGGTATCAGCACATCAAGGTATTCAACACATCCCCTCCAAAGGGGAAATACTATTGAAAATTAGCTGCAATAGTATTCCAGAGCAGCAGGGAAAGTGGAAAAGCTCTCCCACAACTGCGTTCTTCAACTGTAGCAAACTCTCAGTGGCCACAAGACAGTTAACCTGAGAGAGGAGAAACACACAAAAACTGAGTGCTGGTTTATGAGGAGAAGCCAGCAAGCAAGAGACCTTGCTGATTTAACCTAAGGGTAGATTGAGGTGGTTTTTTTCTCATTTCTGCACCTGTCTTTTTTTACAAACATCTGAAATTGTGCCGCTTGATTTGGATGTTGTGAATAAACACACTTTCATTCTGCCTTAATCTGGCCTGTGTTGTGTGTGATTTCAAGATACCAGGGTAGCAAGTGGCATAGTAAATGGACGAAATGGGGCACATCACCAAACTGGACAGGTCTCCTGCGTGCCTTTCAGGTGAGCTGCCGCGTGGTGGCTGGGTCTCCTGTTTGAGCTGAACCCGCCGGCGGTGTCAGACTCGGGCAGGGCTGAGCTGCCTCCGGTGACCGCAGGAATCGAAGCGCTCTGTTACAAGACAGAGCAAATCTTGAGCCCCCAGGGCACGGGGGTCCTGTTGCTATTTTAGTTACTGAGATCGCAGATGAGATTATAAGGGTGCTACAAGTGACATACAGAGGAATTTTGGCCGAAGTGTTTTCTTTCTCTTGTGATTTTAAGTATTTAATGTGTGCTGTTGTTTCTTCATGTTGAAGATGATGGAAAGTTTAGTAAACACTAACCCTTTACTAATAACAAGACATTTCAGGGAAGCAAGCCAGAAGTGATTACTTTTGTGAAATATAACAGATGTTTTAAGTTGCCTATTTCTAAAGTGATAGTTGATTTTTAAATAAGAGAAATCCTATTTTTTTACACCAGAAAAAAAGTAGAAAATGGCTACCAGAACAACTTCGGAAATGCTGGGGTAAAGCCTTTAAATAATTTCAAATGAAATCTGAATCCAAATGGCTGCCATTTAACTCCAGGAATGGTCATCAACCTGATCTATTGTCCTGCGTTATAAAGACCAAATCAAATAAGCATGGCAGTTCTCCACTGGCCTTTAAAAACTAAGCATTTTTGTTTCTCTGATAAGTTTATTAAACAAAGCATTAATTTATGAAAGGGCCTGGCTTTCAGATACTGAAATCAGTATACTTGGAATGTATGTTAAAGTTCAGAAAATCAGGAAGGGAGCGAGCATCTTTGAAAGATGAACCTGTAATTCAGATGCCTAAGTATAGCCAAAGATTGTAAGTTTAACATGTTAGTTAGTGCATAGGTAAATTTATTTCTGTAATTTTTCTATATTTCAAACTGATTCTTAAAATGGAATAAACTATTACAGTTCTGTTGAAGGGAAGATGTGGAAGGAATAAGACAGAGTTGCAGAATCAGAGCAAGGTACTGAGTTCTAAACCCAGACCTCCTCCATTTCATTCTCCCTCTCTCCCTGCTGCATTAGCCAATAAGTAAATAATAATTAAAAAGAGGATGACAGCCTCAATGACAAAAACATCTGCCTAATCTCTTCTATAACTCAGGGATGCATACACTAGAAATGAATGAGTAAACCTGTGTGCATGCCTAACCTCTCAGTGCATGGGTGGTAAAAAGGAAACAGTTCCCTTCCAAGTAATCCTTTACCTTTATTTGCTCATTATTTATCTCATTATTTATTTCATTTATTCATTTAGAAATACCCCTTTACCTATCCACAAGGGCTTTTTCTTTTCCCAATGAGAATTTATCTGAAAGCACTGCATTCATACTTCACAGAAAACAAA